TCTTCCGTCGGTCGTGAGTGTAGTGCTGAGGTGGGGCGCGGGGTAAGGGGAAGGAATATTTCTGGGAGTGGGAGCCAACGGTGACAGGTTTCCTAACCTGTTGCTGCGTTCCTATCTTTCACTTAATTCTAACTTAGTCTATCAAAAGTGTATAAATTAGGGGGCTGGGGAGGGGCCAAAGAAAGTGCCTCGTCACAGTACATAGACATCTACGTCATTTACAGGTGCACTTGCCTCATGAAAAAACGATGGCTCTTCTGAAATACCAGCAGATTTTGCATCAGAAAACTTTTCGAAAACGTGTAAATAAACTCATTGAGTGGTACTGGCCTGAGAGAACCCAGAGAGACAACTTTTATTTTGAGATCAAGGAAAAAACAGCCCACGAGCATCCAGAAGCAGAGCTCGTTCCAAGTGATGATTTAATTATATTGAAAGGTGAGGTCGACTCTTGATTATCAATGTTGTTAAAAATATGTTGAATTTCGGTAATCCGGGTGGTCCTGGAGGGGGAATGTTGTAGGGTTTGGTGAGAATGTTGCAGGTGCAATGGAAAAACACGAAAGTCAGTTGATTTGGCGTGAACCTCGTCGATATACTGAAATTAAACTTGATGTCAGTGTACAATATTTACACTAGATGATATACACACATTGTGACGAGGAACTTTTTTAGCCCCTCCCCTGCCCCCTAATAATGACTTGTTTTTATATGTAATGTGACGAGGCACTTTTTGGCCCCTCCCCAGCCCCCTAAGTTATACATGCATTTTTGTTAGGATAAGAAAAATAAATTAGAATTAAGTTAGAATGATAAACAACTCGAGAGCAGGTTAGCAAACCTGTCACCGTTGGCTCCCACTCCCCACAATAGTCCTTCCCCTTGCCCCGCGTCCTCCCCTTCCACTACACTCACGCCGCGAACAACACCATCGTGGTGAAAAGGAGAAACCCCCCCCGTACCCGCCGTTCCGCTCGTCAGCACATGCGGCGCGGTGAACAACGATGAAAACCACCACTCCTACATCACAGGCCACGTGACCCGGAAGAAGGAAAAAGGACATACATCAATATGTCACAACGAATAATCAAGACGAGGACACCCGATGACGAGTGTCCCCGATTGACCCCGATTATCACCGATAATCGGGGAAGAACGAGCACGAGGATGGGGAAGCCATCACTCGTAATACAGCTGCCCCGTGCGTAACAGATATTTTGAAGAGTTCGTGTGAGCGTATTGGTGAAAGAGTTGTGGAGAGAATTTTGAGGAGAATTGTGTTGAGGAAATTGTGGAATTATTTGCCAAGGAGGTTTTGTGGAGAAATTGTTAGGAACTGTGACCCAGGAGTGAGGACTAAGAGAGGAAGGACAGCCCTGTGTGGACGATTTCGTGTGGAGGATTTTTCCTGAGAGGATTAGAATCGTCACCATCCCCGTGAGTACCCTTTCTTACCTTTCCCACCCCAACAAGTATTACCGACACCCCTGTAATAATATATCCCCCCAACGGTGAGCCTCTAAATTCAATTATTATCATTATTTAATATTTACGGAAACTTATGTTTTGTCATCACTCAAGCCCCCTAATTAGCGATACTTTTTACTAGTACCCCTCACTTCTCCCCCTTTTTTTCAGAGATAGAATCACCCCTTCTTTTTCTAACAACAAGTGCGTGGTTGTCGCAAGCTGGCTGGCCTTACCCCCCACCCTTGATTAATTGTTAAGAGAAGGCCAAGAATTTCTATTGTGAGATACTGTATTATTACACTTTCCGTCCTTTATTGAAATATATGATTGTGTTTATAATATCCCGCCCGAGCAATTATTCACCACCCCCCTTCTCATTTCAGGCCCCCCCCGTATACGACAAGGAATCTTCCCTACACAATCATTCTCTTATTCATTTATTTCATCTATTAGTGACTTCACCGGGAGTTATTATATTTTGATCTCCCGGCCAAGGTCACAGTAAGTAGGTCAAGGATTAGGGTAAGGTAAAGAGACAAACCTGCCACCGTTGGCCCCCACTCCCGAGAGATTCCTTTCCCTTGCCCCGCGTTACCCCAGCCCTACACTCACGCGGTGGAACATCGTCGAACATCGTCGCGAAGGAAAGAAACCCACCATCCCTACGTCACGGCCCACGTGACTTGGAAGGAGAGAAAACCACCCCTCATACGTCACAGCCCACGTGACTTGGAAGGAGAGGAAACCACCACTCATACGTCACAGCCCACGTGACCCGGAAGAGAGAAAAAGGAATATATGCTAATCGGGCACAACAGATAATTAGGACGAGGACACCCGATGACGAGTGTCCCCGATTGACCCCGATTATCACCGATGATCGGGGAAGAAGAATAGCGAGGATGGGGAAGCCATCACTCGTTTTGCAGCTGCCCCGTGTGTAACCGTGTTTGCTGGGAAATTGTTATCAGAGATTATTTGAGGATATTGTTTGAGGAGATTATTTGAGGATATTGTTTGAGGATATTGGTGAGGAGATATTTTTGAGGAGAGAGTGAAGGTGCTTCGTAAAGGAAGAGTTTTGGAGGAGAATTTGTGCCAAAGACCCAGGAGTGAGGACGAGGAGGACATAGGCTATTTGGTCGAAGGAGTTTCCCGTGGATTTTGAGAGATTGTGGAAAAAGGACTAGGATAGACGCCATCACCGTGAGTACCCTCTCTTGCCTTTCCCGTTCCAACAAACCCTCACGAACCCCCTGTCATGATAATTCCCCCCAACGGTGAGCCTCTAAATTCCATTATTATAATTATTTAATATTCACGATCTTTTGTGTCCCGGAAATTCATTTTTGTTATAACTCAAGCCCCCTAATTAGCGATACTTTTTTACTAGTCCCCTCCACTTCTCCCCCTTTTTGCAGAGATATAATCACCCCTTCTTTTTCTAATATTAATTGTGCGTGTGTCGCAAGCTGGCTGGCCCTACGCCCCACCCTTGATTAGTGATTAAGAGAAGGTCACACTTTTGGATTTTTGTTGTTATGAGAATTACCATATTCAGACGTTCCATTTATTGAAATAGAGAACATTTATTACTACTATCCCGCCCGAGTAATTATTCACCCCCCCCCCCTTTTTTTCTCATTTCAGGTCCCCCCGCAAATACCAAGTAATTTCCCCTCAAAAATCATTCGTTTATTCCTTTATTATATTTAATAGTGACTTCACCGGGAGTTATTATATTTTAATTTCCCGGCCAAGGTCACAACATTTATTCCACAAGATAATTGTTTCTCGAAGTTTCTGGTTGATTTACGCGATGAAAATTAGCACCCGATGAGAAAAGTTCTAAAGAAATGACCGTTACATTTGGTACACATGTAGCGTTTTGACAGTTGAGGGAAAATTACCTAACCGTTTAGTAAAATTCGTTGACTGCTTTGTAAAAGTTAGAGTAAAAGATGAAATAATAAAAAGATGAATAGTCAAAGATTTTGTAATAAAAAGTAGATTTTTGGCACTTTTGTGTTTGTTTCATTAAAAAAAAACAATGAACAGGTGAAACAAATATCTCTATTATCTCTGCTGGACTGCAGCACATCTAAACGCTTTGATTGAGATAAAAACACATACAGACACAAACACAAACAGACCTCATTCCGAAACACTGTCAGTATTATTGTAGCGGCCATTATTTATGATTGATGTCAAGTATTTAAATTATATTGATAAGTTACCAATTCCATTAATTTGATCAATTTTTCGACAGATATTTTGGAAGCGTTACAAGAAGCTCATTGGCTCGTCGCCTTGGATGCCGCGGGAAATGAAGTACCTTGGGAACTGGCCTACAAAGGAAACATCCAGACCAAGCTCAACTCCGATCGTGACGTTCACAAAAAGGCGAAGGAGAAAAAAAGAAGTACTCGACGGGCAAAATAAAATTAAGAGATTATTTGTACTCACTCGTCTAATTAATAAATATTCTTTAAAATTCATCACTGTTTGATAATAAAATTTGGGGGTTTTCGCAGTGAACGACCGTCCCTTAAGTTGCAGGTTAGACAATTGCTAGAGAATAAACATTTCATAATTTTTTTTTAATTTCAGGAATAAAATAGAGATTGAGTTATTGATCAACAATCGACGTCACCTATTGGTCGATGACTGATCGACAGAAGACCAACAGTTCGATGGACCATTTCTAAAGTTGACGGTTAGTCAGTATAGCTAGTCATCATATACAGGGTGTCCGAGATAAAATTGTACACCTAAATAACTATTGAATGTGGGTAGTAATCGAAAAATCTTTCAAATAGAAGTTGTAGGGCTCCAAGTGGGAAAAATAATGAGATATGTTTTGAGCATTTAAGTCTCCACGTTTTTATGCTACAAGCATAAGTTCATTTTTTTCAAATGGGATCAAACATTTTCTTGTGGCAAAAGTTGTTTTACTCGATGAGATGAATCTAACGATGTTTTTTTCACACATGTGTTTTTTATGCTTTCTGAGCTCAAAAATACTAAAAATGGAACTTGTCAACGATACTCCAAATTCAGACACGATAAACAGAAAGTGGCCTTTAAATAATAACCAGTAAACACCAAAGTGTAAATACCAGAGCTATCTGGTGTGCCTTAGTGTTTATTGTTTCTTAGGTAGTACGAATCGCGTCATTATTGAGTTCGGCTTATTTTTGAGTGATTTCGCGTATCATGGTTTATTCCGCAAATGAAGTTGTGGATATTCTACTGGTTTGGGGAGAATGCCGAAGTGCATATCGCGCGGCCGCTCGATTGTATCGACAACGGTACCGAAACCGATTACGTCATCCCTCAGCTTCATGCATTCGGATTATCGAGAGAAATTGTCGAAGAGGAGGAGTTCTGCTACGACGACAACGACAACAACGGATGAATCCTGACAATCCTCGTACGCTTACCGTTTTGGCCATGGTTCACATGAACCCTCACATCTCTTTGAGAGAGATTCAGGTATTCCACGAAGCACAGCTCACGATATTTTGAAATCGAACCGTTACCATCCATATCATATCAGATTGACACAAGCACTGTCTGCACAAGATGGATAGAATCGTGTTGCTTTCTGACCCTTTGCCATAGGGATCTGGAACGAAAGGCCCGAGTTTTTCCAAAATGTCCTTTTCAGTGATGCAGCGACGTTTAAATGTACTGGCGCATTAAACCGTCACAATTCCCATTATTGTTCTATGGAAAATCCTCACTGGAGTCAGCACATTGACCACCAGCATCAGTGGAGTGTAAATGTGTGGTGTGGCAAGTGATTGGGCCGTATTTTTTCAACGGAACAGTCACCGGTCAACGCTATTTACAGTTTTTACAAGATGACCTCCCCGTTTTATTGGAACATGTACACTTTGACACAAGACTAAGAATGTGGTTCCAACAAGACGGTGCGCGGCCGCATTTTGCACTTTGTGTAAGGAATTATCTCAATGTTCCGTTTCCTCGTCGTTGGATCGGCAGAGGTGGTCCTGTTAATAGCTCCTGTTGGCGCCCTACAACTTCTATTTGAAAGATGTTTCGATTACTACCCACATTCAATAGTTATTTGGGTGTACAATTTTATCTCGGACACCCTGTATATTTGATAACTACTCTCGACCAACAACCGACTTCACCTATTAGTCGATGACTGGTCGATGACAAGACAAAAGTACCAAACGTACTTTCCAAAAGTATCAAACGACCATCCCTCGAGTTCTGGTTTGGTCATTCGCTAGTCGATGTCTATATTTGATAACTGCTCTCGACCAGCAAACGACTGAAACTGTTGATCGATTGCTGGTCGATAGCTTGCTTTCAATTATGCCAATCGACTATCTCTCGAGTTGGCAGCTAGTCGATGTCTATATTTGATAACTGCTCTCGACCAACAAACGAATGAAACTGTGGATCGAACGCTGGTCGATAGCTTGCTTTCAATTATGCCAATGGACTCTCTCTCGAGTTGTGAGTTAGTCGTTTGCTGGCCGAGGGGTATAGTTGAAAATTGCTCTCGACCGACGAACGACTGAAACTGTTGATGGATTGCTGGTCATTGGCAAGCTTCCAACTACTACTACTATCGACCAACAACCGACCGCATTCATCAGGCAATGACTGGTCATTAACAAGTTTCCAGGAATACCAATCGACTATCTCTGAAGTTCTGATTTAGTCATTCGCTAGTCGATGGCTATATTGGATAACTGCTCTCGACCGACGAGCGACTGAAACTGTTTATCGATTGCTGGTCGTTGGCAAGCTTCCGACACTGCTAATCGACCATCTCTCAAGTTGTGGGATAGTTCTTTGCTAGTTGAGAAGTATGTTTGCGAACGACTCATGACTAGCGAGTGACTACACCTACTGATCGATTGCTCGTCTATTGCAGAAACCTACCCCATCACTCGAGCGATGCTCGAGTTGTTGAGTGAGTCAATTGCTGGTCGATTGATAAAATGGGCAATCACATTACCATCGACTCAATCTCGAACACCTATCGACTCAGTGCACAACCCGATTCACTCTATCGAGGGCCTATCGAGTAAATCTCGAATGGTCCGCCAGGGTATCGAAGCTTCTGACATAGCGTTATGCCATTCTTTATCATCTGCAATAAGTCCTCCTGCTAAACACGTCTCAACAAATGTATTATAAAGAAGTCCATCAACAGTTTTTAGATCATTGTAACTGGTGGCTCCTTTAACATGCAATAGAAGTAACCGCAGATGATATAATTCAATTTGACTTGGAGATATTGAATACTCGACCAATAATAATAATATTCGACCAAGTACATTAAATGATGATTGTCGAGCTTTCCATTTACCATTCGCCCAAGTATAATGACGGGGTATTTCCGTGTAAGAATATCGTCTTGCTACTACGTCGTGTGCGTTGAGGTGAAAATACTCAAGAAGCTTCGAGGAACGATTCATAACATTTCTAATATTTTCTTCATTTATTTCATCAGGGAGAATAACATTTTGCTCACTGGGTAAATGAACTTGAAGACGAATAACAGAATGACTCTTCTTTTGAATTTCTTTTCCGAATAGGCGCCAAACTGCTTCGTTTGGTCCAACGTAACGAGCATCAATGAAATCTTTAATTTCATCATGGTGAATTAAATTTTCAACGTCGGGATTGCCTCTGGATTCGAAAGAGTGATTACTTATTTCAAGAGCTGCTTTATCATGCCCTTTCAATACATACTTAAATAAATATTTAGGTGCATTAACAGATGATACTACTTCAACATTAATGTGGCAATTGAGTATTAGCAGTAATTGGGGATTACATGCTACTACCCATCTATTATGAAATACATACCCGCCAGCTTTTTCATAATATACACCAGTATCCTTTCTTCGATAAGTTGGATAAGAATCTTCATCTATCGTAGTTTTTTCTTGGAAACTTTTAGGAACATTTTTTGAGCACTTTCCCTTTTCTTGACACCACTCACCACATGGTCCGTGAATCATATTTTTTTTTACAATCTCGAACAAGCGTGGATGTTCAATAGGATCTGGAATTTCAGTTGAAATAATAGAATCAATCTTCTCTGGCGTTCTCAATTTATCGCGTAGAGTCACAAGAAGATGGACGTGTAGTAAACCACGTTTCTGGGACTCGATAACGTGCACATGTGCAGTAGGCTCTCCAAAGATTTTCTGATCAACAATTAAATTCATGAGATCGCTGTTCTTCATATCGAACACACGGGTAGTTATGTCTGCCCTATCTGACGGAGTTTGACCTTCTTTTATACTTTCCGTGATTTCCCTCCAATTGGGATTACAAGTCATTGTTATAAATAAATCAGGCTTTCCAAATTTGCGAACCATAGCCATTGTGTCTTGATAGTGTTGCATCATGTATCTCGGTGATCCTGTACAATTTGCTGGTAAGATGATGACTCTTCCAATGCGTTTATTATTTATCTGTGCGGAGTTCTCTAGGTAATTAAATAAATTTGTATAACTATCAGCACGCAACTTTGACTGAAATTTTTCAATATATTTGAATCGATCTTGGTCAACTTTTACATATTGATCAACAATCCATTGTTGAAATAATCGTCGGCCATCAAGAATTACATTTATGTCATCATTGTCTCGCACTGCCATACGAAATTTCGTATAAGCCGCTCTAGTTATTGGCTTTTCTATACTAACAGATTTAAGGTCTGGATGTCATCCTCTTGTACCGTGGGGATAAAATAAAGGATAAATTCACGGTTCGACTTTCGGCTCCAAGGAACTAATTCGTTTTAATTGTTTGGTAGCTTTGTCTCGTACAGTAAGATAGGCATCTGGAATATTTCCATCTGCCGTAGTGGAAAAAACAGCAGCTACTTCATTGGATTGTTGTGGATTGTAACGATTACGATCCAAGCCCAATCTCGGGGTAAATGATAAAAATAATTCTTGTAGAGGTTCGTCATTATTCACATCTCTCATTCTATTCGGTTGTGCTTGAATTTCTTCGTGCATCATTTGTTATGATTCAATGTATGGATTGCAATCACGCATAGTTGAATTTATTGCGTGCAAAACATCATTATCCAATGACGAATTAGTATTCTGTAGAACATTGATTATTTATGCAGAATCAAGAATAAAAAGTTGTCCATATCTTGATTTACCATTGACAGCGGGATATAATGCAGTATTAAATTGATAATAAATTTGTCCTTGAATTCGAAAACAATAAGGTCCCGGTCGTCGATTCGAGTAGTTTATTAAACTTGCATTCAATGAAGCAAATGAGAAAGAACTATTGTAATATCTAATTCGATTGAAAAATGTATTGGATTTGGGGTGCGTTCCATGGAACAGAGATTTCAAATTCTGTCGTATTTCAGACAATGAGGGTAATTCGACTTTGCCATGTTCACAACATTGATTAAATGAATTTTTCTTGTTACGAAT